ATTTCAGAAGTGTTTGCTCAATTCACTTGTTCTTTTTTTTAGTGGTCTGGGAATTAAAAGTCCATTCTTATCAAAGCCTACTATTACTTGGTATTTTTATCTTCATCCCAGACAATATAAGAGATTTAGAATATTTTAACTTCATTTCCTTCCCATTTTATATGCTGTTATTTTTGGTAAATTTTAATTTTGTGTATATAAATATGCATCCATATATTAAAATACATTACTGATGTATTCTACACCAACTATTCTATTCCTATATTACTGTGGTTTACTTAAGATTTATCCACATGTTTACCATTTTAATTAGTATACATTCTCTTCATTCTTCTCTGCCTCTCCACCTTTCCATTTAGGATTATTTTCCTTGTCTCTGAACATCATTTAGCTTAACAATAGAGGTAAAAGTGTATACTTTTTGTTTGGCTGATAGCTTTATTCTTAAAAGATATTTTATCTGGAATAGAATTCTACTTTGGACTTTATGTTCTTTTGTAATGTTGGAAGTAACAAGGCACTGATTTGTTTATTTAATGTATTCTTTTATTAATGGTTTTTGTGAATTTTCCCCTTATCATTGTTTTATTTGAGTTTTTATAATAGGTTTTAATGTACATAATTGTTTAGTTATCCTATTGCAGATTCTTTGTGCTTCTAAATTTGTGATTTTGCATCTCTTTATTTTGAGTAAATGCTTAGCCATGTGTGCTCAGATATTAGCTTTGTACCATTATCTTTCTCTTTTCCTTCTAGGACTCCAAATAAAGGTATATTTGACTGTCTTACACTATCTTTTATGACTCTTTTTTTTTGGTACTGGGGATCGAACTTGGGACCTTATGCTTGCAAGGCAGGCGGCAGAACCACTGAGCTAAATCCCCAGCCCTCTTTTATGACTCTTAATTCCTTATTTTCATCTCTTTATACCACACTCCCTACCCAAGCTTCATTCTTCATCTAATTTATCTTTTAATTCACTAGGTTCTGTTTAGCCATGTTATCTGCCATTAAACACATCCACTGAGTGCTCAAGTTAAGCTATTACATTTTTTAGCTGTAGACTTTCCATTTGCTTCCTTCTTTATAGCATACAAATTCTCAAATTTGTCTTTATTTTCCTTGAATATAATAACATTTATTTTAAAAGCTGTGTCTGAGACCATCTGCAAAGTGGCTTTCTTTGATACTGATCTCTCAGTGTGTTACCTGTCCTTTGTATTAGATCTCCTCTATCCTTGGGCTGGGGATTTAGCTTAGTGGTGCCACTCTTGCCTCGAAAGTGCAAGGTCCTGAGTTCGATCCCCATACCAAAAAAAAAAAAGATTCCCTCTATCCAAGCACTTGGAGTGATTTCTTTCTTTCTAGTTGGAATTCAGCTGATACACTGCTGTGTGCACACTTGCAACCCTGAGCCCTACAACTTTGTATAGAATTTTTTCATAGCCTACTATGTTCTCTCTCCTTTTTCTTTCTTTCTCCTTTCTTTTCTTCCTTCCTCCCTCCCTTTTCTCTTTTTTTCTTTCCTTCCTTCCTCTCTTCTTTCCTCCTGCTCTCCCTCCCTCTCTCTCTCTTTCTCTATCTCTCATTTTGTTTTTGTTCTTTTGAGACAGGGTCTCACTACATAGCCCGTGTCAGCCTCAAACTCTTGATGATCTTCCTGCCTCGGTCTCCCGAGTTCTGGGATTATAGGTGTGCACCACCACATCCAGCATCAGAATTTTCCTTATATTGTACTAATTTTCAGCAAAAGTGAACTTGACTCAGGAACTATAGAATTTATAGTTTAAAGCAAAGATTCTAAAGAGAATTAAAACTGGAAAAAAAAGTTTACCATTCTCAAAGATTCTTGGACTTAGTAAAGATTTTTTTTTAAATTGGGGGTACACTGCCCTCCTTCCCATTTTTGTTTCAATTTGTCTTTTATCCAGCAAGGTCATCTTCTACTTTGCTACCAAACAATGTCTGAGCTAGAAGAGGTTAGTTAATTCTTAATGATTAAGGCATCTTGAGGTTATTTCAGTTCACTATATTTAATTTTTTCTTCGGAAGTCACTTATGTAACTTAAGAAATTTCTTTCTAGACCCTGTTCTCTGAATATATCAGAAAAACAAAACCTCAACAAGCACAAATCATGGAGCTTCTCAGATCCAGCTTCTTTATTAGAAGGCTGTTTCCTCTAAAAACAGAGATTGACTCAAACATATTATAACAGAAATGCTATAATAGCAATAATATGAGTAATTTTTCTTTCTCCCTGTGATCTTACCACTTTCATCCCCTCCAAAAGAAGTATTTTAAGCCAGGCATAGTGGCATATGCCTGTAATCCCAACATTTTGGGAGACTGGGACAGGAGGATCCCAAGTCTGAGTCCCACTTGGACAACTTAGTGAGAACTTGTCTCAAAATTAAAAAGGCTGGGGATGCAGCTCAGTGAAAAGATAGGACCTTGGTTTCAACCTCTGGTAGCCCCTCCTCAAAAAAGTATTTTAGTTAATTCTACGGGGAAGAAATATATCATTTCCCAATTCCATGCATGCTTCTGCCCATATCTAGGACCCTGGAAGCTACCTAATTGATTTTCCTGGAAACTAGCTGCTGCGTTTTAGATATGATTTGAGTGTGGCCCACACCACACAGTTTTCATATCTTAGATGCTTGGTTCCTAGTGTAGAGGTATTGAGATTGGCTGTACCTTTAAGATATGGAGCCTGGTGGAAGTTAGTTAGGTTATGAGGGCACCACCCTTGAAAGGGATTAATGCTGGTCCTCAAGTGTGTTGGTCCTAGAGATAAATGGTTGTTATAAAGTGACCCACCTCTGTGACTCCTGCACATGACTGATTCCCTTTTCATTTCTCAGCCATGTCATGAAGCAGGCATAAGGCCCTCATCAGGACACTGACACAATGTTGTTGGAGCCTCTAGTCACCAAAATTGTAAACAAAATAAACCTTTTACTTTACCCAGCCTCAAGTATTTTGTTATAACAACAGAAAATAAACTGGCTGACTAACATCTAGTGTGGTTTAAGGGGCATCTTCAAGGCCTTCCTCATCTTCCAGCTCTTCAACTTCTTCTGAAGTTGATGTCCTCCTATAAGGGCCAGTGCATTTAAGAGAAGTGAGGGCTATATATCCCTGAGCTTACTACCCCTTGGCTAAGACCATTCTCTATTGTGCCTAACCAACCAGGGGCAGTGGACAAACACAACCTTGATGAGTCATGGCTGTAGGCCACATTCTGTGGCATCTCCACCTGGTAGCCTCAGCTCTTGTCCTCCATTAGCCAATTTCACAACTGCAGTACTTCAGGTGGGCTGGGGATACATGAAAAGGAGCCATTTACCCATTATAAGTTTATTTTCGGTTTCTCATTAATTAACCAGGGATTCAAAAATCTTATTGGAAGAAGGATAGTGGCTGGTGCAGAAAAGAAAATTCGAACATCAAGTGAAGCTTTTTGGTGTCAGGGGCTTCTAAAAGTACAGTAAAACACAACCAGGTCGGAAACGCGCATTCTTCTCAGTACACAAGCATTTTAAACTCAGGTATTATGTAACTGTTTTTGAGGAAGCTAAAATAATACTCTACACTTACGCTTCAAAAAATTTGTAAAATGGGAGAGTCTCATGGTTCCTGAGCCAGCCTCAGCATTAGCAGGGAAGCATGTGAGAGCCAATCAACCAGCAGCTCAGGACTGTTCTGAACAGCTGCTCCATACAGTGCCTTCTAATGGGGACTTTTGTTTCCAAACACATGCTTTTGATTTTTAAATATATTATTAGTGGATATTAATTTTACTAAATTCTGGGTTTCATTGTGGCACTTTCACACATACATATAGTATATTTTGACTAAATTCATCCTCTCTCTTACCCTTCCCTTCTCTCCCTCCCCCGTATTGCCTTTCTTTTGTTTAATAGTTTCTTTTCTATGTTTATGTTATCTTTGGGAATTTTTTTAGATTCCACGTATAAGAGAAACCATGATAATATGATAAATGTCTTTCTAAGTCTGGCCTTTTTCCCTTAATGATTTCCAGTTCCATCCATTTTCCTGCAGTAACATAATTTCATTCTTCTTTATGGCTGAATACTCCATTGTGTATATACACCACCTTTTCTTTTTTCATCCACCCACTGATGGGCACCTAGGCTGGTTCCATATCTTGCCTATTGTGAAGTGTGCCACAATAAACACAAGCATGCAGATATCCCTATAGTATATTGACTTTAATTCCTCTGGGTATATACTAAAGAGTGGTACAGCTGAATCAAATAGTAGCTCTATTTTTGTTTTTTGAGGAACCCCCATACTGATTTCCATAGTAGCTATACTAATTTACATTCCCACCAATAGTGTTTCTTTTCCCCTGAAACTTTGCCAGCTTTTATTGTGTTTTGTATCCTTGTTGTTTGCCTTCTGACTAGTAAGAGATGCAATCTTAATGTAGTTTTGATTTATTTCCGTAAGAGCTAAAGATGTTGAACTTTTTTTTCATATACGTAATTGTCCTTTTGTACTTTTTTTAAGCAGGTCTGTTCAATTATAGTATTTTCCTGTTTATGGATTGTCTACTTTTTTGGTGTTAAATTTTTTGAGGGTTTTTTTTTTTTGTACCAGGGATCGATCTCAGGACTGTGCTTGCAAGGCAGGCATGGTGCCGCTGAGCTAAATCCCCAGCCCAGTTTTTTGAATTCTTTATATATTCCAGATATCAATCCTCTGTCAGAAGAGTAGCTGGCAAAGATTTTCTCCCATTCTGTAGGCTGTCTCTTTACTCTGCTGATTATTACCTGTGCTATATAGAAGCTTTTAATTTTCATGTAATCCTATTTGTTGATTCTTGCTATTATTTCCTGTGCTACTGGAGTTCTTTTCAGGAAGTCTTTGCTTGTACCTATGAATTTTCCCTACATTTTCTTCTAGGAGTTTCAGTTCCATAACTTATACTTAGATCTTTGATACATTTTGAATTGATTTTTTACAGGATAAGAGATGGGCATCTGGTTTCAGTCTTCTTCATACAGATATCCAGTTTTCCCATCACTGTTTATTAAAGAGGCTGTGTTTTCTCCAAGGTATGTTTTTAGTCTTTTTGTCAAGAATTAGATGACTGTAGTTTTGTGAGTTTGTTTCTGTGTCCATGCTTTTGTTTTGTTTTGGTACCAGGGATCGAACTTGGGACCTTGTGCCTTCAAGGCAGGTGGTGGCACTGAGCTAAATCCCGGGCCCTCCATGCTGTTGATTTTTAACAAAGGAGATCTTACCATTCTTGACATTAGCACACAAGTGGGTCACCTATAAAAGTATACATACATCTTTCTGCACTCTTTCTAAAGGCTTCCCACTAAATCACTGTATACTTATACCATGACTTATTTAACCAGACCTCTCAATAGAAGCTTCAGTAGTATTTATTCTTATAGGAAATCAATTGCTTCAATAGTCCCTACCGACTTCCTCTGGTAAGTGTCGCCCACATGTCAACAACCACCCCTATTGCTGCCAGACAACCCCAGCGGCTCTGAAAATGGTAACATTGAGATTTTTCCAAGGCAGCATGGCACTTGTCTCAGTTTACCATCTCATGAAAAGAAACAGGTTTAATCACATAGGATTATAGGGTTAACTATTATATTAAGTTTGGGAATTGAGAAAACAGGTCTGCTTCTGGTGATTTTTTTGGCTTTGTGGCATGACCTCTATCGTGGGTTCAGCCCCCCCCCCAAGATATGTTGAAGTTCTGATCTATGGTTCTTGTGAATTTGACCTTATTTGGAAATCAAACAGATGCAGATGTAATCAAATTAAGATGAGGTCATAATGGTTAGAACAGGCCTTAAATCCAATAACTGATCTTATATGGAGAGAGATTTAGTGATAAGCAGGGAGAACTCCATGTAAAGACTGAAGTAGAGAATCAAGTTGTGCTGCCACTGGGCAAGAAATGTTAAGGACTGCTGAAAGCTAACAAGCCAGGAAAGGCAAGAAAGAATTTTTCCATAGGACCATCAGCGGGTGTTAGTCCTGCTGACATCTTGATTTCAGAATTATGTCCTCCATGTCTTAGACACTTTCCTCATTGCTGGGATAACATATCTAACATCAGGGCCAGGGATTTAGCTCAGTGGTTCCACTGCCTGCCTCACAAGAGGAAAGTCCTGAGTTCAATCCCTGGTACCAAAAAAAAAAAAAGAAAAAAAATCTAACATCATAAGTTAAAGGAGGAGAAGTTTATTTTGACTCACAGTTTGTAGAGGTTTTAATCCATAGTCTTCTGGCTCCAAGGCAGTAATGCATGGAATGCAGGCATGGCAGAATATGGTTGCTCATGGCATGGAATGGTTGAGAAAACACTGACTTCCAGAAGACAGGCCTCTGTTTTGTTGTCTTTCAGGTAACAGTTTAGAGGTGGGCAGGTGGAGATCCAGATGTCCCCCAAATGCCTCATTTACTCATAGGCAGGGCTAATGGAAGGTGAGTGGATTAGGAGGGCACTGCTGTGGCTTGGTGTTGGGGAAGTGTGGCCTGGTTAGAGGTGGGTCACTGGTGGTGAAACCTGGTAGGGTATATATCCATCACTGGCTCTTCACACTTTGCTTCCTGGCTGCCATGGCAGTGAACAGCTTTCTTCTGCCCAGGACCTTCCACCATGCCTTGCTGGTGGAAGCTGGCCCACTCCAGCTAAAAACATGAGCCAAAATAAATTCCTCCTCTTTTAAGTTGTATGTGTTGAGTACTGGGTCTCAGCGACAGGGAAAGTAATTTAAGACAGATTTTGGCACTAGAGAAGTGGGGTCATTGCTGTGACTACCTGACTATGTGGTTCAGAAGCCTTTGTACCTGGTTTGAGGGAAGAGTTTGGAAAGGTTTGGAAATGCCAGTTAGAGAAACCTTAGAATGCTGTAAACCAAGCTTGATGGGAGAGTCTAGTCAGAGCTCAAAAGACCAAAATGCTGATAGAAATGAAGACGGAAAAGACCAGGCTCTGGAGGTTCATTTGGGAACAAGGTCTCCATTGGCAGTTGGACTCCAGGTCATTTGTGTTATGCTCTGGCAGAAAATGTGTCTATATGTTCCTCCTGTGCTGAGACTTTGTGGGAGACTGAGATTAACAGCTGCAGACTAATTAATCTGGTGGAGGAAATATCAAGGCAGCCAAATGTTGAGGCTGTGAGTAGATAGGTACTCTTGGGGGTTTTTAGCCAGCTCTACCTTGAGAATCAAGAGCAAAGAGCACAGCTGAATAATTTAAATAGTTTTGATTTTGGCCACAAAGGAAGGTCAGGTAAAATTGAGGCTTACAAATTTGCAGCAGAGGAGAGCTATGTTGCTAACGAGATCTGTATTAAAAAGAAGCCCAGGGCCAGGGCTCAGTGGCACCACGAATGCCTCACAAGCATTCGTCCTGAGGACGCAAGGTCCTGAGTTCGATCCCCAGTACCGCCCCCCCCCCCAAAAGCAGCCTAGCATTTTATAAGATAGTAGGAAAAATGGCTTGACAACATCCTGGAAAACAGCAAGACCCCTCCCTTCTTAGGCTCAAGGGTGCAAGGCTGAAAGATTTTGCTTTGAGAAGAGAGCCTTAGGACACTGTTGGAAAACAGCCACCTAGGGAACGAGCCAAAATAAGCCTTGCCTCCTTTAATTTGCAGGTGTTGGGTATTTTGTCCCAGCAGCAAGAAAAGTGACTAATATTTTGGTACCAGAGAAGTGAGGTCATTGCATTCTGACCATGCTCTGTTAACCTGTAAGAAAGACAAGTGACTGTTTTTTAGATATAAGCCACTGAGATTTGAAGATTTCTTGCCATGAATTCAGCCTTAACTGAGGAGTTAATTTTACTATTGAAGAAGAAAAGAATGAGCACTGTGTAATACTAGCACTCTGCAAGTATGAGAGGGGCCCCTCCCAGGATGGACCAAAGAGCACTCCACCAGCAGGGGACCCTTTAAACTTCAAAGCACAGACCAGCCAAATGGAAGGTTGGGGGTAGGGGTGGGGAGGGAGGGGGTGGGGTGGGGAGTGGTGATAGAAAACTGGGTCAAAAAACTAAAACCAAAACCTGACACATCATCAAAACAGTTGGGGAGGTTTTCTCAGAGAGCCAAGAAGTGGTGCTAACAGAGGCCTGAAATAACTGCATTTTACTGTATTAATTAATCAATCCATGTCTATTTGTTACCAGTACAGCTGTAGAGAATGATGCTGTTCCAATTTGGATCCTACATATGATCTGGAATGCATATAAAAAAAACCTGATACCCCTACCAGATTCACTGAAATTTACCTCTAAAGGATTATTTTTCCAGTGTCTTAGCACTCACAACCAGTGTGATAAATACAGCTTTTTTTTTTTTTTTTGGCAACAGGGTCTTGCTACATAGTTCAGCCTGGCCTTAAATGCACTATGCAGCCCAGGCTGGCCTCAAACTCATGGTGATCCTCCTGCCCCTGCCTCCTGAGTGCTGGGATTACATGCCACCATGCCCAGCTAAATGCAGCTTTTTGAGGGAAGCAACTCCCCATACTCTTTGCTGATTATTCTACCAGCGAGAATTTGGGTGTGCAGAATTGACATTAAATTTTCTCCACACAGGAAATTGCTAGAGGCGTGCAAAAGGTAAAAAGCACAATTTGAGTGTAAATATCTATTATGGATGAATTAGTCCCTGATAAGGTATTGGCTGCTTACATGTATCTGGTTGAGGAAAATAAAACACAATTTAATACATTTCTTCAAATATGAATTTGTCCTAAATTTTACTTTAGTTTTTCTTGGTATTTATCTTCTAGGTTTTTATTATGAAATTTTTCACTTAAAAATGTGAAAAGAATATAATCACATATCCCTTCCATTTAGGTTCAGTGACTCTTAATGTTTTATCATATTTGCTTCCCAAATATGTTAAAATATCACTTTTAAAAGTAAACTGTATGACACCATGATCTTTAAATGTTTAAATGTTAAAAAAATTTAACAATTATTTTACACCACAACTAATATTCAAGTCAGTTTAAATTTTCCTAATTGTCCTCTAAAGATTTTCATGCAGTTTCCCTGCATGTTGTAATCAAGGTTTGCAGGTTCCATCTGGAGGTTAATCTGGAAAATCTCCCACAGCTTTACTTCTGTATTTGACTTTACTACTTATTTGACTTTTATTTATTTTTTCTTTTGGTAATACTGGGGAATGAACCCATGGCTGGCAAGTGCTGTACCAGTGAGCTATCACTGACATTGAATTTTTAAGAATCTGGGCCAACTTATTACAAGTTGCACATTCTTGGTTTGTCTGACTGCTTTCTGATGTCCTTTTAGGTCTGTTTTTCCCTCAAAATTAAGTTAGATTTGGGTAAAACACTCTGCAAGAATACTTCGAAGGACACTGAGTTCATTACCACTAGCATATCATGTGCACAAGAACACAATTAAATATGCCTACATTAAATATAAAATACAATGTATAATATATAATAAAGTAGTATAAACTCATATTAAAATTTAACACAATAGTGTTTCTCTTAAATTCTTTTTGACATCTTTTTCTTTATAGTGAAAAATTTCTGCTTTCCAATAGTACATAGTCAGAATATGTTCAAATTATCAAAAATAACTTTTAGTCCTGTAATGCTAGGGATCAAACCCAGAACCTTGTGCATACAAGGCAAGCTCTCTACCACTTGAGTTGTACCCTAATCCCAGTAACTAATATTAGATAGTTAGGTTAGTATTCTTCTTCTTTTTTTTTTTTTTTTTTGGTACCGGGGATCGAACTCAGGTCCTTGTGCTTGCGCAGCAGGCGGCAAGACCACTGAGCTAAATCCCCGGCTAGTCTGATTCTTTTAAGATCCAATTTCAAGTCATTTTGCTTTAAAAACTACTTTTATTTCTGAACATATAAAATATAATTTAAAAATAAACACTGTATAAAAAAGTTTAATCACAGAAATCTCACTCATATGCTTATCTCCTCCACCTGGTTTCAATCTACCTACTTTTCATAGTTTTTAGTTTCTACTTTCTAGTATTTCTTGTTGCAAGAATATATATCTTCATTCTAATACAAAATGAAGTGTACCACTACTCTGTTCTGTATCTTTTTTCTCTCAGTAAAATTATATCCAAGGAATCATTCCATATCACATTAACTGTTTACTGTACACATACACACACCCCTCAAGTGTGTAAGTCACAATAGGTTAGGTAAAAGCTAGAATAACTAAAAACAAAATAAAGCAAAACAAAACAAACCCCAAATCTCAATGGCTATCTAAAAAAAGGTTGATTTCTTGCTCACATAAAACCCTTTGTAGAGCTGGGCATGCACATTGGGGGACTGAGTCTGAAAATTGCCAAATTTGAACCATAAAAAGGGCTCAGGATATAGTTCAATATGAAGTTCAATCCTCAGTATTTGGGAAGGGAGGGAATCCTTTATGGACTAGGCAACTCTCCCTTGTCCTGTGGATACATCACCTAGAATGTGTCCCCTGTGATATTCCCTGGCCAGAGCCCAGTCACATTGACCCAAACTAACTGTAAAGGAAGTTGAAAATGTGGTGGCCTATTCTTAAAGAGGAAACTGAAATGGAATTTGATAAATAGCAGCATTGTCTCTCATATACTAGGATTTAGATTTTTTTGTCTTGCATAAACCTCATAACAGCTCTGTAAGTTAGGCACTTTCATTTTCCTTATTTTACAGCCAAGGACATGTATGTCTTTCAAAGTCAGACAGTGTTCTTGTATGTCAGGAGTAGTTTCAGATCCAAGTGTATCATCTCTAAAACCTGTACTTGTACCAAATTTTATAGTCAACTGATGTCCACTAGGAAAGCATGGCAAATCCACTTCATCCATGCATAAATGCAAGATCTCAGGCACTAGAAATAAAAGTAATTGATACTGAAGAATAAATATTGAATTTAAGATTCATATTCTGTTTTCTACAAAAGTACAAGAGAAAATTAAGTCACTGCAATAATAAAGACTAAAACATCACAGGACACAATGTTTCAGTAGAGTTTAATTAAAGTTTTATTTTTAATTTCTGAGTCGAGGTTATTCTAGGAATTTTTTAAAAGTTCAGAATCACTGCAAAGTAAAAGCATTAGTTTATCACATGGGAGAAATTATGAATCTTTCAAAACCATCTGAGGTAGCTCTGATGAAGTATGTCAGGCAATCTCCACAGATTTCAAAGTTGAAAATCCTTCCCTTTACAGATGGAAATAAAACAAACAAAAATCACCATGGTCATTTAGACAACGCCTCCTATCCCACAGTATCACTTATATTTACTGCTTAATGTTGAATGCAACAGTATTAGATCTTAGTACATATTTTTAGAAATGGATTATAGCAAATGAAACTGAGAACTGTGATTTAAATGAAATATTATTATTTATATGCAGGGAATGTAGACTCCACCAAAAGGTAAGGTAGTTCTAGTGGGTGATTTTTTCCAAGACAAAGATTGCTCTCACTTTTTCAGTGTGAAACTAATTGACCCTGGCTGTGGACCTAACAGCTTTCACAAATAATGTCCTACAAGCTGCAGTATCATTAAGTGGCTTCAAATATTTTAGACTTTAACTTCAATTAAGAAATATTATTAGTGGGCGGGGGATTTAGCTCAGTGGTTCCACCGCCTGCCTCGAAAGAGCAAGGTCCTGAGTTCAATCCCTGGTACCACAAAAAAAAGAAATATTATTAGCTACTGTACACAAAGAATCACACATACAAAGTTTTATGAGATAAAACATGGGCCATATACTCTGATTTCCTACTCTGTCCCATCTTTTCCCTTCCCCGATTCTTCCCATTTTCCCCAAAATACTGATGTTAAACTGAATTCACAGCTTAGGAACTATAACCTGCTGAAGGAAACTCCTGAGCTACTGCTTATTACTCTGTCTTACAAATCACACCCACATTTATCAAGTATTTTCCGTTTTTGTTCCCACAGCTCCTAGGAAAAAGAAGGCCTATCATGGGAATTACTGACTAAACCCCAGGGCCTGACAGACTCACCCAGTTTGGAAGGTGCCACCTCTTCTAAGACATAGCTGTCCGATCTAGATGCTAGATTTAGCAAAACAAAAACAAAAATCAGCGAGCCCAGTTAAACTTGAGTTTCAGATAGCGATAAAATATTTTTAGTATAAATGTCTCATGCAGGAACAATTGTTTTTTATCTGAAATTCAAATATAATTGGGCATCTGGCAACCCTGCTGCTGGTGCATTCTGACCTTTTATTCTGAAGGTCCTAAATATTGGTGATGGGCTCAGAAGGAACAGGATGTGGGCTCCACTGCTAGGAGGAACGGGTGTGGCTTAGCCTCTTTCGGTTCCCAGTTTCATTATTGGCAGCACACCTACAGTATGTTCTTTCCCCTGACTGGCACGTTCTGGGTCAGAGGACTGGGTTGGTGAGGAAGCACAAACCCTGCCCTTGCTGCTTCCACTTGACCCTTAGGTCCTCCTGGAACTTGGGCATGCCGAGCTGTGAGATGCAGGCTGTCCCATTACTGTCTCTTGCTCAGAGGCAATGGGACTGAAGGACCCTGGTTAGCGAGACAGACTCCATATTGCTGCTTGACCCACCTGCCTGCCCTTTAGATGAACTCAGAAGGAGGAAGCTTAGCAACCTCCTCCCCTTAGAGAGTCTCTTAGAAACAACAGTGAATCAACTACTGTTTCACAAATGTTCCACCGGCAGGACGTTCCGCTTCTGTACCTTTTGCTTGCTTTACTACTTCTATCCCACAGGGGGGCCTAGAAACTCCTGGCCTCAAAGGTGTATAAAACATGCCTGTCAACCCCCAGTCGGGGCTCCAGTCCGATGCTCGGCTCGGGTCCCGGCCGGTAATAAACTCCTGTGTGGATTTAATATCGGTCTCTGGTTGGTTCTCTCTCACTGGGTGCAACAGGACAATGTTGTTAACCCTATCTGGCTACGCGGAACCCCAATCTTTCTTTCCTGCATGACCCAGTTCTAATAAACAATCTTTTCTGTTAGAGAAAGAACAGTATTACTCAGCTTTAAAAAGGCAATTCTAATGGATGGTACAACATGGATGAATCTTGAGGACATTATCCCACATGCAATGATCTCGTTTAAATGAGGTACCTAGAGAAGTTATAGAAACAACAAGGTAGAACGGTGGTTGCCAGGGGAAAATGGAAAGTCACTGTTTAATAGTTAACTTTGGGAAGATGTAAAGAATTCAGGAGCCTGGTGGTACACCAAAGTGAACGCACTTAGCTCTACTTACGGTAATTTTTAGGTAACATATATTTTGCCACAAAAACCTATTTTAAAGCAGGCTCTCAAGTTTGCTAAACACTATGCCACAGTGCCTGTGTTGGACTACACATGCTTCCTCATACTTATTTTCAAATTCTATTTCTTTACTTTTCAAGTGAGAAAACTTGTACTGTTCTTGGAATAACCATTTTTGTTTTCCACTCATTACCCCACAAACCTGCCCTTCATTTACAACCACATTTCTAACACTTTCTTAGCTCTTTTATAGGGGATTTTAAAAATCTAGACTCAATAAATTTAACTCAAATTTTATCCCAACATCCCACCTAAACCAACTGTATCATATTATTTTTCTCATTTTCTCAAAACTTATCAGGTTAAATCTTCAACATTTTGTAAGTCTTTTCGACCCCTTTAATTTTGGTCCCACGCCCCACAGGGCAGATTTCTACATAGTGCTTCTCTAAAATCTGAGTTTCTTCTGCAGCTACTTCTGTCTTCTTTCACTGTGGCTGCTCATACTACCTCTTGGGTCTTCGTCAGATCCTGCTGTGCTAGTGTGGAACTGACAGTGCAAGGCAAGGAAAACTCAGCGCTGACCATGAATGGATAGTGGCAAAGCCCAGAAAAAGGTAAATAAAAAAATTTGGCGGGGGGGGGGAGCATTCTCCTTATTTTGGTTGTGGCTGAGTAGCTCTAATCCATTTTATATGTTACCCTGAATTCTCTGTTCAAATTCCAGTTGCTTTTGCTCCACTCAAGAAGGCATGTTAAAATCCAAGTCAGTGAGGTGAGCCTGATCTGCCCAGAGCTGTGACCTCAAACTGTGTGATTTATTTAGCAGGGTCAATCACCTGAAAAGGCCAGCCCTTTAACAGTTCCTAGGAATAATAAATATGACATATGCAGATGTGATCCACACACATCAGTGAGATAATTGGGTGGTGGCAGGCATAGCAGTGGATTATCAATTCTCAGGAGCCTCTGGCTTTTTAAAAAAAATTTGCTTTGAATAGTTTCCAGACACTATCTAATGAGTGTTTGTTCGGGCTATTGGACTGCCTGTAAATTACGCTCTCTCATTGTTTTGAAGGAGACTCATGTTAGCTCAGAGGATGGCCAAGTGTGCACCACATTTTTGTCTCAAAATAAGGCAGAAAAGAGTGATCACATACCTAACAATAGAAAAGAGAACCTGAGCACTATGGCATATACCTGTAGTACCAGCACTCAGAAAGCTGAAGCTGGGGGATCTGAAATTTGAGGCTAGAGTGGGCCAAAAAAATCAGAAATCAAAAAAATCAGAAAATTAGTAACAGATGTACTCTCCTTTTTATGATTAATGGCATTATTACTGGTAATTATTTAAAATGTTAGTAACAATTAGAAGTGGCTGTTCTGGTTTAAAAGCCATTAAAAGATGAAAGAATTATACAGATAATTTGGTTTGGGGGTTAAGGAATTATACTGACACCATCCTGACCAGAGATCCCTCTAAATGCCCCCTCCCAGCACAGCTGCACCTAGGGACTCATAACACTATCAGCCCTGCTACTGACAGTAGCCTCTACTCCTGTGCTTTCAGAAGCCTTTTGATTGGGCAAGCATTCTTGGCAGCTAACCACAACCCCCTTTCACTGAACTACCCCTCCCCAAAAGACCCCACACCTGTATGAGAATGACTGGTCTGGTCTCTAGTGCAGAATAGGCCCTCTCAGGTTTGTTCTGAAATAAACCTGTCCTGTTGAGCCTCCTTTTTTTTCAAAACCGGGCTAATAGTTGTGATTGTTTTCTCCAGGATACTTTCCAGCACCTTTCAACTGCTGTTACCTGACGAGATACCTTAGAGAGGCAGAAAGAAGCCGGAGATTTGGTCAGTCTATATGATGAGTTGGTCACACCCAATTTAGAATTAAGAAGCACAGGGGCTGGGGATTTAGCTCAGTGGTTCCGCCACCTGCCTCGCAAGCATAAGGACCTGAGTTCGATCCCCAGTACCCCCCCAAAAAAAGAATTAAGAAGCACAAATACAGCCGGGGATTTAGCTCCACGGTTTCCGCCCCCTGCCTCGAAAGCTGAAGGTCCCAAGTTCGATCCCCCATACCAAAAAAGAAGAAGCATAAATACAGTTTCTATAGTTCGATCCCCAGTACTGGCCCCTACCCCGCAAAAAAATACAGTATTTCTATTTGAACTTGGTTGAATTCAAAGTAAAGGATTTAGCCTCCAAAAAGAAGTGCCTTTTTCCTGTTTCCCTTCAAGAGCTTGCTGGTGTTCAACCTACTCCTGGGAGATGTTCTTGATTTATTTTACATTCCTCTAAACCTTTCTTTACATCAGCACTTCTGAACTCGGCTTGGTTTTTTTACTACTTCTGTTAATGCTTGAGAATAAGCTTTCTCTTCAAGTGACTTGAGGTGTCCTGAAGGCAAAAGACACATCTATATCTCTATCTTTCTTCCACTTTTCTCCCTCTACACTGTTCTCCCACAAACAGAGGCCCATCCAGGAAAATTGTACAACCCCCACTGGTGGAGCTGCTCTAACAAAACACAGAAAAGGGCAATCCTTCCTTATTTAAATGCAAATGTAGTCTTAAAGAACCCTAGCGATAGCCAGAATTTACATTGTTAAATAAAGGTGTTTAAAAAGCAAACTAGCTTTCATTATGATGCAAACGTACTTTAGGGACCCTGAGGAAAGAGGCCAGTGAGAAAGAGGAGCAGCTTCCATAAAGAAAGGATGCTCAGGGCTTTCTCGGTTGGCAGAGGGAAAGGGCACTCAGAGTGGTCACCTCTGAAAGCTCAGTCCATACCAGTACTCTGGTATTTCTGATCATTATCTGAACTTTTAAACAGATATTTTTATCACTCTTTCCAGTTCTACAAGGGTTCCCAGACCACAGTTTCATTTGATTCTCATGAATACGTTGGTAAGGGTAAAGTATAGGTTTCATTATCCTCATAGTATAAAGGGAAACTAAATCTCTGGAGCCCACAGAAATCAGAGGAGCCAGGATCTAAGCTGCAAGTAAACAGTCGTTGAATTGTACAGATATAGAACTATATGAGTGTTTTAAGGTAAACAGGGTATCTGCTTCACTTCAAGAAACTCAGTCGAGCTGGGAGAAATGCCCAAAATAGTAACACACAGGGCCTGGGATTTAGCTCTGTGGCACCGCACCTGCATTGCAAGTGTAAGGTCCTGAGTTCAATCCCTGGTATCAAAAAAAAAAAAAAGTAATAACACAGAAATTAAATAAGGCAAGACCAGACACCAAACAGTAAATGCATCTTTCACTGTAAAATGAGGCAAGTAACTCCTTCAATATTTAAATGTAGTTATGTAACTTACACCCAAGAGCCCTTCATCTGCCTTCTCTGTCTCCATCCCAAGTTGTTGCTTAATATTCTGGCTTTTACTCAGATTTCTTTTTTTGGTACCGGGGATCAAACTCAGGACCTTGCGCTTGCCAGGCAGGCGCCGGAACCACTGAGCTCAATCCTCGGCCCATTACTCAGATTTCTTATGGCACCTATGAGGTCTTCTTCAGTTTTATACCTTAGCTATGGCAATTTCTAGGCCTGTCACAATCTTTTCAGTCCAGTATTTGTGGGGCAAGTTGTGGCCAAAAAAATTTAAAAAGAAAAAAATTTTTTAAAGCTACAGGGGACATAAAATAGGAGAAGGGGAAATTTGTCTTATGTGTTCCAGAAAATTCCATCCACATCACCTACAATTTCTGAAAGGAATGGATTTTAGAAACTGATACAATGACCCATGAATTACACATGAAGAGACAAATAAAGGAGGGAATGTCAGAAAGAAATATTGACCAAGACAAAGGAAAGAATAAGTGAGAGGGCCGGGGATTTGGTTCAGTGGTGCTGTGCCTGCCTGGCAATTGCAAGGTTCTGAGTTCAATCCCCAGTACCGGAATAGAAAAAAGAATAAGTGACAAGTTAGAAAATGGCATGATCAGGACCTCTATCCACACAAAAAATAGTCTGATAATTTGTGTGTGTAATTATTGGAATTTCTCAAAAATCTAGGACGGTACTGGGTCATACCTACTGCACTCCAAAAACACAGATTCCCCTAATTTCTCCTCCATCTGGGGGATTTTATAGCCTCTCACATGAAGACTGGTCCTGTATTCTAATTCACTCCATTGAGGGAGATCACAATTAGCAAAAACAGATGCACAGCTGAAAAAACCTAACATGTCCACCATCTGATGAATGGATACACAAAATATGGTATATACACAGCATAGAATATTACGCCACCACCAAAAATTCTGAATGTTGCAGTACTGTAACGGGTGAAACTTGAAAATTACACTAAATAAAAGAAGCCAGATATGTAATATATGATTCCATTCATAAATGATATCCAGAATACATCAAGTGATAGAAAATTGATCAGTGGTTGCCAGGGTCTGAGGGAGGACAAATAGGAAGTGAATGCTAATCGTTATGGTATTTCTTTAAGGGTGATGAAAGTGTTTAGGAGTCAGTGATGATGGCTTTACTACTACTTCATGGAAAAAAAAAAGATGGATAATGTTACAGGTTTACTTTGAATTTAAGGAGGAAACTGAATTGTATTAGCCCAATATTTCTCTGGGAACATATTAGAAATATCAAAATGGAATAAACATAACTGAAAACCTATTCACAAAGAAAACAAAAACTAGAAAGGAAACAAAGACACGGATGAGGGAGGTGGAAGACATCAAACATAGGCTAACATAAGCATAACTGGTGCCCCTAAAGAAGAGAACAAATGATGCAAGAAACAGTCAAAATACTAAACAAAAACTTTTACTATGGTATATATGGTAGGCAGAGTACAAATAAAGCACTTTACATACACTGCCTCATTTAATGCTCTCAATAACTGAATAAGGTTAGGGACTATTATCATCATTCCTACTGTACTCATGAGAACAGAGGAATAGACAGTGCTAGTAATTTTTCAAAGAAAATACTGCAATGAGTGGCAGGAAAAGAGCATAATGCATCTAGATTAAATCATTCTGGTACAATTATCCAAACTTCAAAGGTAAAGGAAAATCTACATGGTCAGTCAGACTGGAAAATTCAATTTTCTCCAAAAAGAAACAGCAACTTAACTTCCAATTTTTTCTCAGTTATCAGTTACTGTTAGCAGGTCAAAAGATGGGATAAGGGAGGAAGGAGGAACTCAAGACTTTTATGTTCGGTTGTCCTTCAAGAGGAAAGGCTGAAACTTCTGTTAGTGGTATTTGAGGTTTGCCACCTAAGAAAAACTTTCTCTGCAGGGTCAGCAAATGCCAGGAAGGAGCTAACTGGCCACGGTTAGGTCTTATACCACCAAATTCTTAAGACCTGGGCATGAGATGCCACAACCAGCCCAGCATGAGAAGACACAGTCACAAAATAACTGTGAGACGATTTTTACATGGTTTGTGATTGACTCAATGTGGAGACTGGGAAATTTCTGAGTTTCTTGTATAGCGACTATTGGATGACAGAGTCATAAGTTGCGAATGGGAATGCTGAGAGGGCAAATAAAGAATATTATGAGTTCAGTTTTGGACAAATGAATTCGAGGTAACTGTGAGGCTACTAAGGGAGATGTCAAGCATGAAAGTAGATATATGGGCCTTCAGGACAAAGGAGAAGGGAGCATAGGATGTGTTTGACACAAAGCTGATAATGGAAGACAGATGACTTCTGTGGGATCACCCAAAAACCAAGTGTAAAATGAGCAACACATGCCTATGAAAGAGGCTCAGTATTTAAGGGGAGTCTCAGTATTTAAATATCAGGCACAGAAAAAGAAGAAGAAGCTAGACAGGAAGGCTGAGAAGCAGCAGCCAGTAAGAAGGAAACCTGGGAAGGTGTAGCAGTGCCCAAGTGAGGGGAGAAGAGTGTTGGAAGGGGAAGAAAACAGTTGAGTATGTCAGAAGTTGCTAAGAGGCACAGTAAGATGAAGGAAAAAAATGAGTGTGGGTTATTTCCTTATGGATCAGAATTTTCTTTTTTTTTTTTAAGTTCTTTTATTGGTACATTTTAGATATACAATTCATTTACATTTATCATTTGGTGTTTGTACCTGTACATGATGTATCTTGGTTCTCGTTTTTTCCCCATTACTTGTGCACCCTTCACCCCCTCCACCCTTCCCTATTT